GTTAATATGTAATAGTCATCTTTACCAGTTATTGCAAATATCTAAAAAATGGTAGAGTAACTGGATGGCTTCCACTGCTAACTGTTCTAAAAGGGACCTCAACTAGGAGTCCTGAAAGTAGATGAAAAAATGTAGAACAAAATTTAAAATCATCAAGAAGACAAGGGGTATTAGTCTGATAGAGACTGAATGGAACCACTGAGACTATGTCCCTTCGTCACCTTTTCAGTCAAATGATAAATGAGCCTGTAAAAGCAGCAAGGGCATCAGTGGAGACCGTGGCCCTGAGCACATATATTAGACCAACAGGGCAACATGTGTCCAGAACCAGAGAAGACAGGGAGGATCTGGACAGATGGACACAGGGAACCCAGGGAGGCAGGAGGGAGAATGCTGATACACTGTAGGGACTGCATGAACTACTGTGAATCAATTATTAACTGAAAAACTAATCTGTTATGGAAAATTACACCATAGTACAATAAAATTTGCAGTGATGGGGACAAAAGGTAAGATGAAAACGATGATCTAAAACGGCTGGTGGCAGTGCAGACCAAAGACTACAAATTCTTTCATATGTCTGAGTTTCATCTTCACCAAAAGATGAGAACCTACTTTCCTGGAGAGGCCAGGTCTCAGCCATCCAAACCTTCACCACATTCACCTGTAAAGAGCAGAGTTTCCGAGGCTGTATATCTATACAGAAACGGACTACGAAGGTCTTCCGAGGAGCAGCTGGTGGGTTCAAGCCATCAACCTGTCAGTAAGCAACTGAGAGCTTCACCAGCACACCCCCAGAACACTTTTATGGTTATGTACAGATAGACAGGAGGCAGTGGAGAGAACTTTCACTAATAACCCGTAGACAGAAATTTCATTCATCTTAAAGGCCTTACCATCAAACTTGCTTCATTTCCCAAAGTTATTCCTGGTTTAATGGGGTCTGTTGAAGGAGAAAAGACAGGGAAAACACATAAAGGCTCACATTATTACGCTGCTAATTTGATGTGCAGAAATGAAGTCTTTAAAGTCAAAGAAGCAAAACATTAGGTTGAACAGATGTCAAGTGTTAATTGCCTAATAACATACTCTATAGTTAAAGGGCCTAATAACATATTCCATTGTTAAAGGGACTATTTCCTAATGTTAAAATCTGAAAGTTAAAAGACATTTCTAGTCACTTAAGGGAGTCCTGGTGGCTTATTGGTAAGGAGATATGCTTCCAACACAAAGGCATACAGTTCAAATCTACCAGCTACTCTGATTGGGAAATACAGAAAATCTCTTCCAGTGCAATTTACTGCCTATGAAAACCCACTGGAGGGTCAGCTGGTTCCAATGACTAGTCACTTACGCAAATCCAGTTAAGTACTAGGGGATAAAAGCCTGCAGACTCCAAAGTCAATTATTGCCTTCCACGCATGGCAGGGCAGCCTGTGCTTTGACCAGAGTAGGAATCCCAGACAAGTGTAGAAGCCCCAGGGTAGTGCAAATGATTAAGTCCTTAGTTAGCTGTTAACTGAAAGTTGAGTAGTTCAAATCTACCCAGCAACACCTCACAAGAAAGCTCTGGTGATCTTGCTGTTGTTACACACAGCAACCTATGAACAACAGACTTCCTCATCTCTGATATGAGGCCATTATTACAGTCACTTTGTCAATCTATTCCACTGAGAGTTCGCCTCTTTCTCTGACTTCCACCTTTCCCAACATGATGTCTGTTTGCAAGGCCTAGCATCTCCTAACAATATACCCAAAGTATGTAAGATGAAGCTTCACCATCGTTGCTTTCAAGGAGCATCCTTCTATATTTTAGAAGTCTTCTATATTGTAGAAGGCTCAAACCCACATAACAGACTTGTTTGTTCTCTTGGGAGTCCAAGGGATATTCAGTACTCTAACACCACAAGCTAAAGGCATTAATTCTTCTTTTGTCACCCTTAGTCACTATCCAACTTTCAGATGTGTAGCAAGTAATCAAAAAGACCCTGGCTTGGATCAGGCTCACCTTAATTAGTCTCTAAACTAACATCCATGTACTTTACAATTTTGGAGAGGTCCCTGACAACAGACTTCTCTCGTACAAGTTCAGAGCGAAGATGAAGAAAATGGAAACAAGGACACATGAACCAAAATACAACCTTGAATCTTCCCCACCTGAATTAAAAAACCATTTCAAGACTAGTTTGAGATTAATGATTGAAGACAAGTTGAGCTGTGGGATGATATCAAGAACATCATCCACGAAGAAAACCAACAGGTCATTACAAAGACAGGAGAGAAAGAAATGACCAAAATGGATGTCAGAAGAGACTCTGAATATCCCTGGTGATCTAGATCCGAAACTCCAGTCATTCAGAACCTTCCGGAAGGCAGCTCAACCCTGACATACAAGAGGGCTGTTGTGTTAGAACTGACTCCACAGGTACTGATAGCAAGACAAAAACTGCTCTAAAAGGGACCACGTAGAAGGTCTTGGACAGAGTGGGTGAAAAATGTAGAAGGCTCAAACCCACAAAACTGCAAGGCTTATAGGTCTAATAAAGAATGGTGGAACCTCTGAGCCCACAGTCCCCTCAATCACCCTTCCTATCTGGAACAGAACTAACACCATAACTTATCTTTCTGCCAAACAACAGACAAGCCCATAAGGTCAACAATAACAACCAGAAGGCTCACACTCCTCAGAAGAGTCAACCACACAAGATCAGCAGGGCAGCCTCTGCCAGAGATGAAGCTTGGGAGCAAGAAGATGTGGGGAACTGGGACACATAGGAGCGAGTGGAAGAGGGCTTCTACAACGTGGGCAATTATAATCAATGTCTTGATACATGTGTATGAATTACTGAACAGACA